GCCCTTCCCAACAGCTGTGAGGTCCCCTCCTTCCCAGGCTGGCCCCTCATTAGGAACTAATGATCCCCAGCTGTGCCAGCTTCTAGGCCTCCTTGTTAACCCCTTGGTTTCTTCTGCTACTGGTGGGGGGAAAAACTGGGCCTCAGAAATCCTGTGCAGTGCTGAGAGGCAGAGATTGCCCACTGCAGAGTTAATGGTGTGCACATCCCACAGTTTTTCTAATAAACTAAATTAATAATTGCTGCCATTTGTGGAGTGCCTGCTATGCTTTATCCACCTGCATTATTATCTCTACTGTCATCTCTTATCTTTGTTACACTAGGAGGTGGGACCATTTCACCCATCTTGTAAATGAGAAAATTGAGGCTATGCAGCTTGTAAGTGGAGGCATGATTTAAACTTGGCTCTCTTCTCACCCACCTGTCACTTACTTTGGACAAAATTAGATCCTCAAATGTTCAGATTAAAGAGATCACCATCCTTGCATTGTCCATCTGTAGAAGTTTTAAACTTTAAAATGAGAGCGTTTGAGAATGGGAAGAACCAGTTTTCTCCCCAACCAAGGGGACGGGTTGGCATAGACAAGTATGTTTCCTTGAAATTTGGCCACCTTACCTTCAGAATAGCACAGGCAATAATATCTGCCTTGTTTCTCTCTTGGGCTTGTTAGAAGTCCAGATCCTGATAGGCAAAAGCATTACATAAACTATAGAGGGCCATGAAGGACAGTGACGCTTGATGACTCCCCACAGGAGCACATGACATAAGATTGGGAGCTCAGGGCTGGAGGTGTAACTCGGTGCTATAGCACTTGCTTGGCATGTACAAGGCCTTGGGTTTGATTCCAAGCACTGCATGCCTGGGAGACTCAAGTTATTTTTATGATTTTTTGAGACCAGAAATTTATCATGGCTGAATCTCCAAGTCTTCATAGGAAGTGAAAGAAGCCAATCCAAACACTACATACTGTATGATTCCATCTATATGTCCTTGCCTCGGCCATGCCCACCCTGGGGATGAGAGTGGAGAACTACTTCTCATGTTTCCAGCTGAAAAGAATATGGGAGAGGGAGGGGGAAGAGTTCCTTACTCTGGTCAGAAGACTTCTGGCATAGTTCTTTCCTCGGGGTTCTGGGAAGAGCCAACTGGGCCATTTTAAGTGCTCCAGGCCCTCTGGGGTGAAAAACATGATCAAGATCCTTTGGGCTTCCAGTCTGTTTGCAGTTTATAGACACTCAGCCCCTGATATGAAAGTCTTGCTCAAGGCCTGTCTGAGCACCAACATAAGTGAACAGGAACAAATGGCAAAGGGAGGTCAGCACAGCCGTGAGGACAGCCTCTGAGCCATGCTGCTCTCTAAGGCCAGCTATGGGCCTCCGCAGCTCTTCCAAATCTGCTGGCCTAAATCCAGCCTGGTGTAAGAGGACATATTTCCTGTTGCTGACTGTAAAAGTCACCAAAAACTTAGTGTCTTAAACTAACACCAATTTATTATCTTTTTTTTCCCCCCATTAACTTTATTGGTACATTTTAGGTATAAA